CCAGGCTGGCCTCGAACTCACAGAGATCCTCCTGGCTAAGCCTCCTGAGTGCTAGGATTAAAAGCATGCGCCACCACCGCCCGGCTTTGTGTTGAAACCTTGCATGGGACCTGGGAATATCCCAGTTAGAAGGGAGGATGAAGCCCTGCTGGGGTCCCCAGGGTCTGCAGGACCAAGTCCCAGCAGCTGCTGGCTACAGCTCGCTCCTGCTGGCAGAGGGCTTTCTATTCTGCAGGGCTGTCTCTGGTTCCCTCCCACACTCTTCTGTGTCCTACACTGTCTGTTCACCTGCTGTCGTGGCAAGGGCCCACGCCGCCACCTCCAGCTTCTTTAAAAGTCAGTCTGTAACTGTGCCTGTGCTGACATCCTCAATCCCCACCAGTCCAGGTTCAGGTTGCTCTGTGAACCCTCACAGCACCCAGCAGCTGTCTCTCAAATTGCCAGTCCCCAGATCTAATGCTTCGCTTGCAGATACGGCTCTCCTACCAGGCTCTTAGCTTCTCAGTCAGCAGACTGGTTCATTCTTCGGAAGAAATCAATACATGAAGATGATTTTGACATCTCTGCACTCCATATCTGTTCATTTGCTCATGGAACACACAGTGGGTGAAGTCCACATGAAGTGCTGGAACGTCTGCATTCAGTACATGTCTTGGACGGCATCATCCTCACAGTCATGCATACGTTCTGTCTATCTTTCTACACATATACAATGTGCAGATACGAACTGATTGGGGGCAGTGGAGAGATGGCTCATGGGTTAAGAACAATTGCTCTTCTTGGAGAGGACCTGGGTTCAGTTCCTAGCACCCACATGGTGTCTTACAGCCATCTGTAACTCCATTCCCAGGATCTGATGCCCTCTCCTGACTTCAACAAATGCAGAAACCACCACCACTACCAAAACCTTAAACAGCCAAACAGGAAAAAATTTATGAAAAAAATAATGGGTGCTGTGACACAGGCCTATCACTGCAGCCCTTGAGAGACCGAGGAGCGCATGCTTTCTTAATACTGACAGAAATACTTCTGGCGCACATTCAAGCAGGTACTTCCAACCAGACTGGCAGTTAGAGCCGACACTGGGCTAGAGTCAGAACCCTGGCCTAAAAAACGGCTCCAGAAGGCGCTTTATGAACCTACTTTGCCTTCAGACTTCTAGGGAAGGCAAAGGGTTATGGGATTGAAAAAAAAAAAAAATGAAACAAGGCAATAGTGTTGCCATGGGTGGAGGACAGGAAGTGGGGAAATCCCAGCAAAGGGTACAAAGTTACTGTTGTTAGGTAGGACAGATAAGTTTAGACATCTAACCTACTAAATGAGCTGTATAACAAACAGCATAGTATTTATTAGAAATTTTCTAAAAGATTAGAGTTTAGCTTCTTACCATACACAAAAACACTTGTAAGATGATGGATTTATTATTAATAATGACCCCTTTAAAAAATAATTGAATCATAGCATATACTTTAAATGGATACATTTTTTTTTTAAAAAAAGAACACATACAGAATTTAAAAAAATAAAGGAGATAACTTGCTGTCTGTCCACGTCTGCTCCTTTGGAACCCACTACTGTCAAGTATCAGCATGCAGAATCCTACCCCCATTGGCATCCATGTGGGTTCCTCAGGGCCCTTTCCTAGCAAAGCCACATGGGAGATTACAGCCGGACAGAGAAAAAAAATGTGAGCTGCAGAACCAGAAGCACAGGCTGCATCACTTCTGCTGGGATTGGAGGATGTGATGATTCTACACAAAAGATTCCCCAGGCCCAAAGCTGACTGCTTCCAGTCCATCACTTCTGTATTTATGTTGTACTTTTGGGACAAGTACACTCGTTCCTGTATTCAGCTACATCCATCTGTCATCTGAAGAAGGAAAAAATACATCTCTTAGACCTACAGTAGAGTGATTTTCGTTCAACTGTATTATTTTACTAGGCACTTCACAAGAATTGACTTTGAGATATCTTTTTTTCCCTGTGTCTAATAAACTTTCGAATTGATTAAAAAATAAAATAAAAGGGGGTTCCTGTATTCAAAAGTGATTTGGGCTTCCCATTCCCTGGTCATTGGCACTTTCCCGTGTTTGGAAGGTCCATTCCTGTCCTTGTCAAACTTTGATGCTTTGGAATACATCTTCCTTCTCACAGTGATCTCCTGACTGCTGACACCATGTTCACTAGGTGCCCTCAGAGACTGAGGGTAGGGAGGTAGAAGCAGGACCCTGCCTTGAGGGGTTTATGCTGGCCTCATTTTGTAAATATCCCATGAACCCCAGTCTCCTCCTATGAAACAGCCTTTCCTGCCTTCTGCGGCTGCTGCAAAAGAGGCCTCCAGAAGCCTTGTGCCCACTCAGAGTATCATGAATCAGCTTTTGATGATGCTTGGTTACGGCTCAGCTGTGGGAGACTCCAGCATACAAAGTGTTGACACCAACACCTCAGAGAGCAATGTCCTGTCCCTGTGTCCATCTGCTAGTGCCTGGAATGACCACAATGGCAAGAGCTTTTCCATTGACTTTGTTGCTAACTTTTCTGCTACCTCTCCAACAACTGTGCAACAAAACCTTATAGATTAAAAAAAATGGGGGGGGGCAGTGGCGAAGGCTTTTAATCTCAGTATTCAGGAGGCAGATTTCTGTTCATTCAAGTCCAGCCTGGGAGAGAGAGAGAGAGAGAGAGAGAGAGAGAGAGAGAGAGAGAGAGAGAGAGAGAGAGAGTGCTTTGGAGATAAAATGCTCCTCAAAAAAGTTCATGAAATGTAGTATTGGTCATGACAGTTTTGGAGAAATCATTGGATCATGACAGAACTGACTTCATCAGTGCATTAAACTGTTGGTGAATTCATAACTTGATGGGCTTTTAGAGAGTGGTGGAAACTTTGGGAGAACGGGTTTGGTTGCAGGGAACCAGTTTTTGGGGACATGCCCTTGAAGGCTATATGCTTATTGACAGATTCTTGCAGAGTAGCCCAGGTTGGTCTCAAACCTGTGATCCTTTTCCTTTAGCTTCCCAAACACTGGTATTACAAACATAGGATGCATCACATAATTCATTATTTACTTAATTACGTTATTACTATTATTATTTTGACAGGGTCTACGTAGCCTGGGTTGGCCTCGAACTTGCAGCGATTTTGCTGCCTAAGCCTTCAGAGTGCCAGGATTACAGATGTCTGCCACCAATGCCTGCCTGGCACCTCCAACAACATGGATTCGGACAGTCTCCGTGAGAGAGGGGCTACTGTCCTCCCGAGAGAGGAGAAAACAGATTCCAACACAATAGGTATCCGGTTCATAGTAGGGAAAGAGCAGACACACAGCCAGGCCTTCCCCGCACCTTCTTCTTCTTCTTCCCCAGCCATCGCCTTGAGGTCGGCTCTTGTTTGTTGTGGTCCTTTGATGGCTAGGATCCGGAGCATCCCTGCACACCTGTCCAGAGCGCGCGGCCCCGCCCCTTAAGGGCGGAGCCTGAGGGCTCACCAATCAGCATCGCCGGGGGGCGGGCCGCGGGCGCCCGGCGGCGCCCGCAGTTCCCCAGGCCGGAGCGCCCGCAGACGCGGAGACGCGGCGCGGGGACCGAGAGGCGCTCGGGCTCCACAGCCTCCCTCCCCTCCCCTCCCTTCGCTGTCTTCTCCTTCTCAGCCGGACCGGAACTATGTGATCCCGGAAGTTCCGGGGCCATTGCTGTGTGGGATAAACAGTAATGGCGGAGGCTGCGGCTCCCGGAACAACAGCCACAACATCAGGAGCAGGAGCGGCAGCGGCGGCGGTGGCAGCGGCCTCCCTCACCCCTATCCCCACAGTCGCTGCCCTGTCCCCGGGGGTGGGCGGCGGGGGCGGCGGCAGCGACGGCAGCGGCGGCGGCTGGACGAAACAGGTCACCTGCAGGTAGGACGTTGCGTGGCGCGGCGGAGGGCGGGGGCTGCGGGGCTGAGGCGGAGGCGGAGGCGGGCGTCGCGGGGTCCCTGCAGCGGTCGCCGGCGGAGCATCGCGACGTCAGCCCCCGCAGAGGCCGTCGGCGGGATCGCGGCGGCTTGTGGACCGCGGGGCTCGGGCTGCGGGGCAGTGCCGCCACCTCCCCTCGCCCGGCGGCGCTCCGGTGCGTGCTGTGAGGACCGGCGTCCCCGCCCCGGCCTCCATCGCCACAGGTCCGGGGAGGCGGCGCGAGCTCGCCGCTGCGAGTCGGGCTCCAACGACCCTCCGGGCGCCCTGAGACCCTCCCAGGGTCCCGGCGAGCTCAGCCGGCCCCGGGGCCTCCGCGCCCGGCCATCCGTTTGTAACGTCTTTTCTGCCCTCGGCGCCGCGCACCCCCGCCCCGCCGGGAGCAGCCGCTTTTGTATTCCTTTGTATGTAGTCGGTGGCTGGCGGTTCCGAGCTTTGTCTCCGAACCGAGCGTTCGGAGCCGGCGTTAGCCTCCTCCGCCCTCGGTTTTATGAACTGCCATTATTATTACTGCCCCTTCGAGCGGCGTTCCTCTTTGCGAGAAAGGAGGATCCTAGGAGAGAGGTTTGGTTCTGGTTTGGTAAGCGAGACGGAATTATTCGAAAAATGAATGATCGGGTGGGGGTTATACAATGCGCATGTAAAAATTTTTAACCAGCTATCAGTGATGGAGGGTATTTGTTGTATTAGCGATTGGGACGAGGGTGTTTTATTGAGACAGCCTTGCCGTGTGGCCCGGTTGACCTATATATAGTCCTGACTGCCTTAGAATTTTCGGCAATCCTTTTGCCTCAGCCTCTCCCTAGTGCGGGGATTGCAGGCGTGTGATGATACCACACCCGACTATATTGATTTAGCCATCAGGAAAGATTGTAAGCTTTCCTAAGGTTTAAAAAAAAAAATCCAAAGAGGAAAAAAAAAAACACTTTTCACCCGACAAGGACAGTTTATACGCAAATGCAAAAGACTATTCCTATTGAAGAACTTGCTGTTGGTATTAACTCCGAAACTGAAGAATTTCTATCCTTCGGTCTTAATTTGAGGCAAGTTCCAGCTTTGCAGCCCCGGTTGTACTAGAAATGTAATCACGCTGGCCTTGAACTTCCGTCTTCCAGCCTCGGGCCTCCCAGTGCTGTGATAACAAGTTACCACCGCGGCTGATAGGAAATTTTAAATACCTTGATTTTTTTCTTTCATCTACCATAGTTCTGAATACCCATTATCATCTTTATTCTGTCAAATACCTGCAATAGACCGAACTTTTACATTTCTATGCAAAGTTTCAACATTTTCCTTTTTCTTATAATCATCAGTGTGTGTATGATATGTCTGTGGGAGGCTGTCCCCCGGGCCACAGTGCAGGTCAGAGGGGACACTTAGTGTCTTTCACTTTCATGTGGGTTCCAGGAATCAAATTCAGCCATCACTCTTATCAGCAAGGGCGTCTGGCCACCCTCCTTTATCCTTTTGAGGCTTGTGTGGGGTATGTGATGCCGAAGCTAAGGTAGCTCAGAATGGCTTGGGACTCCACCGTGATCCTTCTGCTTCTATCTCCTGGGTTGAGATTGATTACAGACATGGCTCCCTGCTTCCCTTTTTTTTTTACTTTTATCTGTTTCCTCTTTTCTAGTTCCCCTCCAGACTGTCTCCTACAGCCTACATTTAGGGTCTTCTTAATTTAAATTTTTCAGTCTTTTTAAAATTTAAATTTTTTATTTTTTGAGACAGGGTTTCTCTGTGTAACCCTGGCTGTCCTGGAATGTTCTAACTGCCTCTGCTTCCCTGGTGCTGAGATTAAAGGCCTGCACCACCATGTCCAGTTTAGGGTCTTTAAAAACAAAATGAGTCTTACTCAGCACATGATGACCTTGAACTCCCTATTTGACCAGGGATGACCTTGATTTTTGTTTGTTTTTGAGACAGGGCTTCTCTGTCTATCCCTGGCTGACCTGGAACCAGGCGGGCCTCATATTTAGAGATCTGCTTGACTCTACCTCCAGGAGTGCTTGGATTGAGGGCATGTGCTACCAGCACCAGGCAATGACCTTGATTTTAAGTGCTGGATTACAAGCATGGGCCGAGCCCAGCTCCCTAAGACTCATTGAGTTGGTGGAGTTTTCTGTGTGCTCCTGGAGCAGCTGTTTATGTCTAATGAGATAGTTTCTTTGGAGTTGGAGAGATGGCTCAGAGAGTAAAGACCTTCCAGCTCAGGCGTGAGGGTCTGCATTTGATCCTCAGCACCCTTGTGAAAGCCCTCGCTGGGAACTCTAGGTTTAGTGGAAGACCCTGTTGAAAAGGCTCTTCACCAGCTCAGTAATCCAAATCAGACCAAATCAAACTGAATTAAGAAAAAGCCCAAGTTTAATGGGTAAAATGCTCCCGCGGGATTTTCCAGCCCCCAGAGAGGGAAGAGACCCAAAAAACCCACGTGTCTTCTAGGGGCAGTAATACCCTGTGGGAGTGGTCTTGAACATCTCTGGGGGAGGAGCTGTGTTTGGGCTTTGTGAGATGAGGCAGAGTTCAGAGAGAGTGAGATGGGGGAGGAGAGTTGAGGTGGAGCTTTACCGAGAACAACTATCTCAAAACAATAAGGTGGAAAACATCTGGATTCCTCCCCTAGCCTTACAGATGACAAATTTTTCTTGAAGTATCCTCCTGGCTTGGGGAGGCTAAGACAGAGGAAAATTGAATTCTAGACTAGCCTGGCAAATGGGACAATTTATATGCCTGCCCTAGGGTACATGGGGAGGTTCAGTCGCAGAAAATAATATAGATGAAGTTTTCATTTTTCTAAGATGGTTTCCCTGTATCTTTGGACTTCATTCTGTAGATCAGACTGGCCCCAGACTCAGAGATCTGCCTGCCTGTGCCACCACTGCCCAGCTGAGGGAAACTTTTTGAGAAAACAATGGGAAAAGCTTAAAAAGGATACAGGCTTAGGATCAGCAAGATGGCCTAGCTTGGGTAGCAAGGGTGCTGGCTGTGATTCCCCAGAACCCACAAGATGGAAGAAAAACTTGTCTTCCAACCTCTACACATGCACTGTGGCACATCTGCTACCATGTACACACATACAAGAAATTAAAAACAAACAAGAGACAAGCTTGAAGTTGTTGTTGTTTTTGTTTTCGAGACAGGGTTTCTCTGTGTAGCTTTATGCCTTTACTGGATTTCGTTCTGCAGACCAGGCTGGCCTCGAACTCACAAAGATCTGCCTGTCTCTGCCTCCCGAGTGCTGGCATTAAAGGTGTGCGCCACCACCGCCCGCCAAGCTTAAAAGTTTTACATGATGGCCCACACCTATAATAGTGTTTGGGAGCTGAAGGTAAAGCATCAGGAATTCAGGATCTCACTACATAGCACTCATGTACATAGCCTTGAACTCCCAGAGATCCTCCTGCCTCTGTCTTTTGAGGGCTAGTTAGTATCAAAGAAGTGTCTTCTCCATAGCTTTTGCTTAGACTAGTCATCTGGAAATTTGTAAGGTCTCTTGCTGTGGCATGTAGAGCCAGCCCTTCATGGTTGCACACATCTGTTCCCCAGCTAGTGAGTAGGTTGAGGCAGGGTGATGTCTTGAGCAGCCATTAGAAACCACAGGTTATTCCGCTCGCTATGCTTTAGGCCTAAGTGCTTTGACATTGTTTTCTGTTCTAGTTGCCATCATGACCTCTCTTAAAGTCTTTCTCCTTTGAACAGAGGAGTGACAGCTATGACATCTTTGTTTTAGACTTTGAGCTTTGAGAGAAGCAGAGTTCTGTTTTATCTTACCTGCAGGGTTTTCCTCGGTGCCCTGCATAGCTATCACGCCACAGTTGCTGTTGATACAGTTAAAACTAGAACTCTTATATGATTTTCTGCCTTTATTTTAAAAAAGTGCACAGGGCTGGAGAGATCTTACAGAGGATCTAGGTCTGCTTTTCAGCACCCACAGGGTGGCTGACGGTAACTCAGTTCCAGAGGATTCGACGCCCTCTTCTGGCCCCTGTGGGTACTGCTGGCGTACAATGCAGATACAGCATGCAGGCAGAATACCCACACACATAAAATAAAAATAAATAAAATCTTAATGTAGAAATTGTTTACCTACAAACATTCCTGCATCCACTCTGAATTTTTTTTAAAGATTTATTTTATTTATTATGTATACAGTGTTCTGCCTGCATGTGTCCCTACAAGCCAGAAGAGGGCACCAGATCTCATTACAAGTGGCTGTGAGCCACTATGTGGTTGCTGGGAATTGAACTCAGGACCTCTGGAAGAGCAGTTGGTGCTCCCAACCACTGAGCCATCTCTCCAGCCCCACTCTGAATTTTTTTAAAGTACACTTGAAGTTGCTAAAGGGAGAGGACCTATTAGAACGTGCTTATCTTTTCTGGGACTACCTTATTCAGACTTTCAGCAAATAAACTGAGTGTGCATTGTGAGTTCACTGCAGAGATGTACCTTACTGTAAATATTTCAGTATACTTGATGGCTGCACTTGTTTTCTGAGAGAATGTGCAGCATGTGTGGGTGTCTGCATATGAATACCAGTGCCCTTGAAGGTGTCAGGTTCCCCCTTGAACTGGAGGTACCATGAGCTGCCTCAGGTGAGTGATGGGAACCAAACTCTGCCACAGCCCTTTGGGCTTTTAACCACTGAGCCATCTCTGCACCCAAAGGAAGGGTATTTTCTATACCTAAGGCGTAGTCCTCTTTAAAGTGACTTGCTTAGATAAGAATGCTTGTTTTGTTTTTAAGATTTATTTATGTACTTCATGTATATGGGTGTTTTTAAAGTGACTTGCTTAGATAAGAATGCTTGTTTTGTTTTTAAGATTTATTTATGTACTTCATGTATATGGGTGTTTTGTCTGCATGTACAGCTGCATGCCAGAAAAGGGCCTGGGATCCCATTGGACTGCAGTTATAGACTGATTGTGATCCACCATGTGAGTGCTAAGAATTGAACTTGGGACCACTGGAAAAGCAGCTAGCGCTTTTAATAAATGAGCCATCTCTCCAGCCGCTATTTTTTAATTTTTGAAAAGATGATTTTAATGTATGAGTGTTTCCTGAATGTATGTCTCTGTACCATATGTATGCCTGGTGACCACTGAGGCCGACAGAGGGCTTAAGAGCCCCTGGAGCTGGAGTTACAGAAGGTTGTGAGCCACCCTGGGAGCTGGCAGTCTAACCTGAGTCCTGCAAAAGCAGCCAGTGCTCTTAACTACTAAGCCAACTCCTTGCCCAGTGATATTCTCTTTGTTTTGAGATAGGGACCTTGACTGTGTAGCTCTGGCTGGCCTAGAACTCTTCCCTCGTTTTAGTCCAGGCTTGCCTCTAATTCACAGATCCTCCTGCCTCCGAGTCCCAGTCAGTGTTAGGATTAAAGGCATAGACCTCCTTGCCCAGCTCAGGATTCATTTTTTTTTTTTTTTTTTTTTTGTTGTTGTTTGTTTTTTGGAGACAGGGTTTCTCCGTGTAGTTTTGGTGCCTGTCCTGGATCTCACTCTGTAGCCCAGGCTGGCCTCAAACTCACAGCCTGGTTCTGCCTCCCAAGTGCTGGGATTAAAGGCATGTATCTCCACCGCCCGGCTTCAGAGTTTGTTTTTAATTGCTCAGTTTCACTTTCTCATTAGCTACTATTAATGCTCCTGAAATCTCCGTGTGTTTTGTTTGTGCTGCCTAAGAAACAAATACCTCTGCTGAGAAACTGTTATGCTGTGTTGTGCTGCCACCAACAGGCAGGCTTTCATCTCCTAGAGAGATGCTGTGAAGTCAGTCCTTGCTGCTAGCTGCCTTGTAGACCAGGCTAGCCTCGAACTCACAGAGATCTGCCTCTGCCACCACCCGGCTCGTAGACAGTTAATATTTATTTATTGGCTTTTTGAGACTGAGTCTCACCATAGCCTTGGCTGACCTGGAAGTCACTGTGTAGACCATAATGGCAAGATTTATCTCTATTTTGTGTGTGTGTCCGTCCATCCATGTGAATGTGGTTACGGAGCTAGATGTACACTGTCAATCTCAGCTTTCAGGAGGCCAAAGCAGGCAGATCTCAGTATACATAGTGAGATCATGTCTCAAGAAGAAAGAAAAAAGTATCGGGAAGGGTGGAGAGATGACTAGGTTTAGGGTATGGATGCTCTTGCGGAGGAACCGGGTTTGGTTCATTCTTTTTTTTTTTTCCTTTTCCCGTGCTGGGAATTGAACTCGGCTTTACATGCAGTCAAGCACCTTATAACCATTTGGTTTTAGTTTTTAGGATTTATCTTAATTGTCAGTTTGTGGGTATGTGCACGTGAGTGTAGGTACTTGCAGGGTCTCTGGAGCTGTAATACTGACAGTTGTGAGCCACCTGACTTGGGACTGGGGATTCAGCTCAGGTCTTCTTTCTGCAAGAGTAGTGTGTAATAGTTTGTGCTCTTAACAGCTGAGCCATCTCCAACGCATTGTTTTCCCCTCTAAAATAAAGAGGTGTACGCTTACGTTTTCTTTTTTTAAACAAAGTCTCATGCAGCCCAGCCATACTCTAGATACTCTGTAGGTACCCAAGGATGACTTTGAACTTTGGCCTCCACCTACCTGCTGTTGGAATTGCACAGAGTACACCAACCTGCCCAGTTTTTGGTTGTGTGGAAATCTTTCTAGGCCTTGAACCCAGAACTTTGTGCATGCTAGATTAAACCCTCTGCTGGCTGGGATACATACATACATCCACAGACTTTGTGTGTGTGTGGCGGGGGGCGGAGGGTGTCAGAGGGCAATTTACAAGAGTCATGTCCCCCATGTCCATCCCTGGTATCAAACTGATGCCATAATTCTTGGTACCACATTATTTTTTCTCCTCTCCCTGTTCTGGTTTTTGAGGAAGTATCTCCTCATATACCCAGGCCATCCATGAATGCCTGCATCCACCTCCTCAGTGCTGGGATTGTGGGCTTGTACCACCACACTGGCAAAAGTACTTCCATCTTTGGTTTTGGGGGGAAATTCTTGGAAGTACATTGCCTTTTCTTTGCCTTTTGTCTGTTACAGGTTGTACCATCTCATGATGTCTGAGATTCACAAAAAATGGATTTCACTGTGTGGCTATTTATAATTCCTTTTTGAGTTCTGGCTGACCTGAAACTCACTAATATAGACCAGGCTGGCCTCAAATTCACAGAGACACATCTAGCTGCCTCTGCTGGGATTAAAGACATACACTCCCTCACCTGGCTCTATAATTGTGGTTATGGTTAGTATTACAGAATGTTAGCGTCACTCAGAAAAGGCTTGTAATTATATAAACTAAACACTCAGGTGAGCTGAGACTCAGCAGTTTTCCCGCTTCAGCCTCATGGGATTACAAATAGGAGCCAACACATCCAGCTTTGTTTATAAATACTTTTTTTTTTTTTTTTTTTTGGTTTTTTGAGACAGGGTTTCTCTGTGTAGCTTTGTGTCTTTCCTGGAACTCGCTTTGTAGACCAGGCCTAGCCTCAAATTTACAGAGATCTACCTGCCTCTGTCTCCCGAGTGCTGGGATTAAAGGCATGTGCCACCACCGCCCAGGGATAAATACTTTTAATAAATAGTTTTTTAAAAGGGAGTTCTACAGAGTTCAGGCCCTTTAAAGCTTGCAGAAAATAACACTATAGTTGACTAATTACACCTGAATTAGGTCAGGTTAGACGAGACCGTTGAAATGAAGCTAGTTATGTGCATAGTTTTACTTCCTACTGAGTTCTCATTTGCTGATTTTGTTTTTTTGAGACAGGGTTTCTCAGTCCCTGGCTGTCCTAGAACTCTCTGTAGACCAGGCTGGCCTTGAACTCAGAGATCCACCTGCTTCTGACTCCTAAGTGCTGGGATTAAAGGCATGCGCCACTGTGCCTGGCCCTACTGAGTTCTTAGGCTTTATTATAGCCTGCTATTCTAGGGTGTAGGATCTTGGTAACTGAAACAGTTTCCAACAAGATGTGGATGCTTTTTCTTCTCTTCTCTTCTGCATTTGCAGGTAATCTGTGTAGCCTCAGACACATTTGAATCCTAGGCAGTTTTTCCTTCGTTTTATTTTGTTGTGGGGATCACAAGCCTTATACATACTAAGCTCACACTCTAACACTGAGCTGCATTCGGCTCTTCTGTATACCCTGTAACATTCAACCCAGTGGGGTGTGGGATGTGTTGAGCTGGCTCCACTGCTCTTCTCTCCACGCTCTCCACATAGCTGTGGCCACGGGTATAGCAGAGTCCTGCGAGGCCAGCCACATTGACACTAAGAAGGTCACTGTCTTCCTCTGGCATGCCTGCTCAGAGATGAAGGGAATAGGAAAACGGACTGTGGCAGACGCAGTGTGCAGGTGGAAGGCGGGCCCTACAAATATCCCTTTGCACACCCTCATCTACAGTGCAGGACTAGGTAGGCCTGGTAGGCTCTTAGTTCAGATGTCTAGTAAATGCTCAGGTGATGGTGCTGCTGTTTGTTGGTATCTAGAAACTGCTAATCATGCCTGCCTGTCTGTAATCCCTTAAAGTTGCTGGCCTAATTTTGCTTGTTTTCATGTTTTAAAGAATTCAAATTGTTTCCTTGACAAAGTCAAATATAAACGGTAGCCCGACACTTTCTTGTCTGTGTGGTTTCTTTATCTTTGATGTGCTTTGTAGATAATCATGGTTAGGAGCTGAAGTTAGTGGAAAATACGCAGCTAACCCTCTAGGGCTGTAAACTGAGGACAGTGGTCAGAGTTGACCTTCAGGGAACAAGATAAATGTTTAAAATCTGTAAGTTGGGGGAGGCTGGGGAGACAGTTCAGTCAGTGATAGAGTGTTTGTGTGTACGAGGCCCTAACTCATCCCCTACCCCCACCCCCCAAAAAAGGAATCCTGTGTAAGCATACATCTTTCTTTTGGGGCAGGCATCTTGATCCCTGCGCTGTCTACTGCAGACCCAAATGGGTCTTCCTGGCTACCCGGCCTAGACTGATTTCATGTGTTTGTTCGATAGTTGTGAACATACAAGGAGAATGTGGTGGTAATGAATTCTTTGAGAGTTCTTTAGTCTTTTAATCTAATCTAGTGTTTTGGTTCTTTGTCTTACAGATATTTTATGCATGGGGTTTGTAAGGAAGGAGATAACTGTCGATACTCTCATGACCTCTCTGACAGTCCATATGGTATAGCGTGCAAGTATTTTCAAAGAGGGTACTGTGTTTATGGAGACCGCTGCAGGTAAGGATTTGTTTATAAACTGGCTTTTGTTCAAGGGTGGGCTGAGGAAGAAATGAAAATACATAATTCTAGTAGCTTTGTATATATAATTCTAGTAGCATTATACATAGTACTCTAAAATACTTTGAAAAGAACTGTGGTGGGCCATGCCTATAAACCCCACTCCTGGAGACTGAAGTTGGAGGATAGCCAGTCTGAGGCTGCCTTTCGGTAATGTACTTACCTAGAATGTCAAAGTTCCGGGTTCAGTCCCAAGTCTTGCTGAAGAAGAGAAATAATAGTTCCTAGGAATGTTAATACACTGACAGAAATCAATCTAGGGAAGTGTGGTGAAGGTGAATTTGTATGTGTTGATCTGTGCCTATTAATCTCAAGACTTAGGAAGCTAACACAAGGATTGTCATGGCCAGTTGTCATGGCCAAACTCTCAAACAAACAAACAAACAAACCAAAAATGAAGCCCAAACTGATGTCTTGTGAGTTTGAGGCCAGCCTGGTCTACATAGTAAGTTTCCAGGCCAACCAGGACTGTAGTGTGACCCTGTCTCAGACAATGGGGGGAAACAAGGAAAGGTTGGTGTGAAGTTTGTCCTAAGAGTTAGTTTTATGTGGTTGTCCTCTCCTAGTGTGGAGTATGGGTGAGATGAGTGAGGCATTAGAGTGGGTGCATTAGTCCTTACCTACCCCTTCCTGTTAAGGTCTGGGGCTGACACCCAGCACCTCACACTCACCCGTCTGTCTAAAACTATTTAACAGCCTCAGCACAGGAAACACCCTAAGCTTAGGGAGGAGTGCTCTAGGGAAAACGCTTCCTGGAATACCTCTCAAGTATTTGCACACCAACAGGGATTTGTTACTAAGCAATCCCTGCCAATAGGTAGGCATGGTTTTGCTGTCATAGTCCTGGCACCTGATCTGTTAGCAGTAGTGGGTTCTATGTAGAAATTGAATAAGGCAGATCTTCCCAGGTCAGAAGATGTCTACGTGTATTATTTATTGCCTGCTGTTAAGTTAATAACTCAAATGTAGCGAGTTAAGACAGCGTGCATTTATTGCCGTCTCTGGAGGCCTTCAATCAGAGTGGTTCTAGTTCAGAGAATTTTAGGGGATGGTAGGACTTTGGCCAGGGTGACAGTCATCTACTGGCTTGACAGATAGGGAATCACTTGTGATATGGCTCCTCACAGAGACATTGGTTCCTTGCCAGTGGGCCTTTCTTAGGGCTGCTGTCATGTCCTTAAAGCTTGGCAGACAGCTTTCTCCAGCGCTAGCCGTCAAAGAGGGTCAGTGAAAGCTACAGTGCCTTTATGACCCAGTCTCAGGAGTCCCACACTCTCAACTTTCACAAATGTCTGGACAAAAGAAATCCAGCTACATTGAAGGGAAGAGGTAGTGGGCTCCACTTTTGGAGAAGAGTCTTGGATATGCTTGAAATCCCCACACTAGGTAAGACTTGTAGCCATGGCCACATACGAGTGGATGGATGGAGAGAGAGAGATACATACATACAAACTTACATACATACATACAAACTTACATACTTACATACATACCACACTAGGTAAGACCTCTAAGTATCACAGCTACATATAGATGGATGGATAGAGAGATAGAATGATTAGAATGATGGTATCTGTCTGTCTATGTAACACTTGTAGTCAGTATCACAGCCACATATAGATATGTCCAGACACACACACACACACACACACACACACACACACACACACACACACACACACACACAGACAG